CTGGAGCAGAGAAACGCAAGCTTGAATTCAGTACACGCCTCGTCAGGAATGCACACCGACAGGATATATTAAGATAATACATACAGGACTAACGAACTACATTCATCCCTGAGGACAGCCAGGTCTTGCAAGGTGCCGTCTTTCAAGTATCCAGAAAGAAATGTGCGAGTGTACCCTATGGCTTCAACGCTCCCCCAGATCCATGTATTGGAGATGAGAGAGGAAGGTGTGCATCGGGGTGCTGTCAACTCACCGTAGGGGACGCAAGCAGGTGGTGCAGCAGCAGTTGCCCATATAGCTCTTGTTGCATGCTTCACAACATGGTCACAGCTGCGTCTTTTACATCCTCTCTACTCCTTCCTTTCATTATCAAACACCAGATCCACTGTTTCCATAGTGATCACTCTCTTAGTCAATATCAACATTGTTAATTCGTTTATATTCAAAGTGGCTGTAAAGAGCACTTAAACTTTTTACTAATGTAGCAAGAAGTCGCAAACTTTCCAAGACTAAATTCCACATACACAGCCTTCGAAACAGTACATAATACATCACATGGAGTAGTACCACCATTTCCTCCCGTTCAAAAAATACACGTTTTCTATCGCATATGCAGTGGGTTTTAATCATGCTACTTTTTTCCCCTGATTTTCTCGTACAAAGGGAACATCACCCGAATGACGACCGCACGTGAAAAGCTGGATGCGCTGGCGTGACCTCATCACCGGCCGCCAACACAATCCCTATTCATCACTCTACGAGCCTAATAAACATCATCAACCCTCCTTGCCCCCGAGCACGCAAGCCTACCCGAGCTTCCCAGGGTTCAGCAGCTCCCTTGGGCAACATCCCACGTGTAAGATTCGCAAATACTGCAGCACACGTCGAGAAGCTTCAGGTACACCGAGACCGACAGTTGTCTTGTGTTCTCAAGACGAAAGCAAACACTGTTATCTGACCTTGAGTATTTGAGAAAAAAATGATTTCTTGAACAATTCATGGAAATGACAGCAGAGATCCTGGTTCGAAATTTATGCAGCCGGTATTAGCATGAGAATGGTCACAAGTGCACGTCCGGGGGGGAGAGAGAGAGAGAGAGAGAGAGAGAGAGAGAGAGAGAGAGAGAGAGAGAGAGAGAAGAGAGAAGAGAGAGAGAGAGAGAGAGAGAGAGAGAGAGAGAGAGGGGGGGGGGGGAGGGAGGGAGGAGGGAGGGAGGGGAGAGAGAGAGAGAGAGAGAGAGAGAGAGAAGAGAGAGAGAGAGAGAGAGAGAGAGAGAGAGAGAGAGAGAGAGAGAGAGAGAGAGAGAGGAGAGAGAGAGAGAGAGAGAGAGAGAGAGAGAGAGAGAGAGAAGAGAGAGAGAGAGAGAGAGAGAGAGAGAGAGAGAGAGACAGAGAAGAGAGAGAGAGAGAGAGAGAGAGAGAGAGAGAGAGAGAGAGAGAGAGAGAGAGAGAGAGAGAGAGAGAGAGAGAGAGAGAGAGAGAGAGAGAGAGAGAGAAGAGAAAGCGAAGGATGAGAAGAAATCAAAGGAGAGGCAGAAAAAAGAAAGCAAAGGAGAGGCAGAGAATGAAATCAAAGGAGAGGCAGAAAAAAGAAGCAAAGGAGAGGCAGAGAGAAATCAGAGAGGCAAAAGAGAAAAGAAAGCAAGGAGAGGCAGAAAGAGAAAGAAAGCAAGGAGAGGCAGAAAGAGAAAGAAAGCAAAGGAGGCAGGCAGAAAGGAGAAGAAAGCGAAGGAGAGGCAGAGAGATAGAAGCGAGGAGAGGCGAAAAGAGAGAAAGCGAAGGAGGGAGAAGAGCGGGGAGGGGGAGGGGGTTGTATATGCGACTTGACAATTCATCAAATCAATATATGCAAGTGTAATAAAGCAGGTGACCTCTCTGAATCCCCTCTTTGTCGCCCTAGCGTTGCAGATCAATCCAACTCAAATTCAAGCTGACAGCCCATCACCGTCACATTAACCTAAATGGACCCGAATCGTTTTCATTTTGAAGAATACAGAATTTACAGATATTTACCTCTATGGGCTGACCAAAACAAGAACAATTGAAATTTTACAGACATTTACCTCAATGCACTGACCCAAACAAGAACAAGAGGAATCAAGAATTTACAAATATTTACCTCAATGGGCTGACCAAAACAACAATTGAGAACTTACAGATATTTACCTTAATGCACTGACGAAAACTAGTTAATTTTAAAGTATCCCTACGTATGTCCTGACATTTTTTTGCGAACCTAAAATAAAAGAAAAAAGAAAGAACGGAAGAAGAAAAAAAAAGATTAGTGTAAATCGCAGTCCCCGTCAGTCAAATACCCAAGCTTGGGTCGAGACCTCCCTAAGCCCTCATCTAAAGGATCAGGGGTGAATGTCTAAGGCAAAGATGACCTAGTTACATCCCGCTGACCCCGCAATGACCACGCACGGACGGTTAGGATATTATAGGCATTCCATCTGAAAAGCTCTACAATATTAGAATATTAGTGACAAAAGTTGCAGCTATGTTTCAAAAAGTTTTCCAAGTCTCTGTTTCTCAGTGAAGAAACGAGCGCCTTAAAAAATACAGTAATTATGGCTCTCTGTTGCCTCGGCTCGCTAAGCAATGAGTATGTCACTTAACAAAAATCTAAATCCTTTTTACATAAATTTTCCTGCAAGTGCAAATAAACTCTGAACGCGGAAAGATAACAAAACAAAAAAAACAGGATGCACAAGACATTGTAGGTGCCCAAGGAGCCACGCTCACCCAAAACTAAATTATTTAAAAAAAATATATATAAATCCTAGTCAAAAATACTAACAGTTGTAAGCATAAACATACGTCATAAACAACAAACATAAACATACGTCATAAACAACATAAACATACGTCATAAACAACATAAACATAAACATACGTCATAAACAAAGCGATTAATCTATCACCACAGCACAGCTAATGAATCTAAGGAGAGGAAGACCACACGGCGAAAAACGAAGAACGACAGAGCAGAGAAAGAAATTTAAAAAACGAAGCCAGAGATCACAGCAATAAACAGTTTTAAACATCAGCCGTCTTTATTTCTATGGTTTGTGTGATTTACGGTTTTCATACATATGACTGCGTGTTATGCACATTAACTGAACCATGATTACGTAATGATCATATCAGACACTGAACGTTTGGTTTATCACACAAATATAAGCAATTTAGAGTATATACCGAGTTCCTTGGGTAATGGTTGACGGGTAACGATTGGTATTGTTGATTTGCATAATCAAATCGAGGGTAAGCTGCCACGGTTGATAAGCAAATTCATATCTAGATAAAAAACACAATTATAGAACTACAATACGAACAAACATGAATAGATAAATAAAAAAGAGCTAAATTATACGCAACAAAAACCTGAACAATGTCAATAAAACACATCCTCTTTGCGACCACTCAAAGTCCAGACTTACGCCCAAACTTGTGTAGTTTCTCACGGCCGACATCGTAACCTTAACCTTAACGGCGCAACAACCTATCGTACAACCCCGGCAATGGACCCGCAAAAAAAAAGACCCGAACAAGAGGTTTTTGACCTAACAGGTAGGTCACTGTCCCGGGACACCTCCAGCCTTCCAACGTGGGTCGGACAACAGTGCCAGAACTCACAGTCCGACTCGGGGCTGCAGATCGATACCAGATCACCGGCCAACAGACGGGCCTCCCTTCCGACCTTGGAAGGATGTCAGTAACCCATGCCGTGATGGTGCTGACAACGATGATAAAAGGATGGTGACCTGATGATCCTACACGATGACCCGCCATGATAGTGAAGTCTGGGGGAAGTCTACCGAGGAAAGGAAAGGGAGGATTCTGAAGGGTTTTGGAAGAAAACATGAATGGAGAACACAGATAAGGAGAGCATGAGGTGAAAGAGCGAGCGAGAGAGAGAGAAAGAGAGGTGTAGAGAGAAAATGAGGTGAGAGAGGAGAGAGGTGAGAGAGGTGAGAGAGGAGAGAGAGGAGAGAGAGGTGAGAGAGGTGAGAGAGATGAGAGAGGTGAGAGAGGTGAGAGAGAGAGAGAGAGAGAGAGAGGAGAGAGAGAGAGAGAGAGAGAGAGAGAGAGAGAGAGAGAGAGAGAGAGAGAAGAGAGAGAGAGAGAGAGAGGAGATTGGAGAGGAGAATAGGTGAGGGGGAGAGGAGGGAGAGGAGAGGAGAGGAGAGGAGAGGAGAGGAGAGGAGAGGAGAGGAGAGGAGAGGAGAGGAGAGGAGAGGAGAGGAGAGGAGAGGAGAGGAGAGGAGAGGGAGGAGAGGAGAGGGAGGAGGGAGAGGGAGGGAGGGAGAGGAGAGCATAGGAGAGGAGAGGGAGGGAGAGGAGAGAGCAGAGAGGAGAGGAGAGAAAGGGAGAGAGAAAAACAGGTGAGGAGAGGAGAGGGAGAGAGAGAGAAAAAAGAAAGAGGAAGGGAGAGAGAAAAACAGGTGAGGAGAGAGGGAGAGAGAGAAAAAAAAGAAAGAGGAAGGGAGAGAGAGACAAGACAGAGAGCATGCGAAAGCGACTTTAATGAATGGAAGGGGAAACCGACCCAAAAATGGGTGACGGATGGGAGCGAGAGGAGATAGAAAGGATTAGGAGTTTGGATTAGACCCGGAGAGGGCGAGAGGATTAGCGCTGGCGTGGGAAATTGGACAGGTGAGAGGATGATGCCCCGAGGGCCGAGAGGGGACACTCAAGAGGGCGAAGGCTTCAGGAGTGATTACTGTTAACATCGATGGGCGTTGAGAGAGCCCCATTGAAGGGACTGGGATGCGGGTGAAGGGTTCCACTGGTGATAGCGCAAAGACCGGAGGGTCAAGGCCCGATAAATGATAAAGAGTGACAGGGCTTGGCAGAGCAAGAGCACTCCCAGTGGGTCAAATGGAAGGAGTGAGGGAGGCCTGACGAAGCAAGAGCACTCCCAGTGGGTCAAATGGAAGGAGTGAGTGAGGGCCTGACGAAGCAAGAGCAACTCCCAGTGGGTCAAATGGAAGGAGT